TACCAGGGGTGTGTTTTATTGAAGTGTTCATTCCTAGAAACCACCTTAAACTAGGATAATTATACGAAGCCTACCTTTGATTGTCAATTAATACATAAGCGATCTTTAAAGGGGTTTTTGCGTTGCAATCAACTCCCAGACCAACTTTTTAGTTAATTGTTTTTATTTTTCCATTTTGCTGTGATGGCTAGTTGACAAACAACAAGTGTATGAGATGACCCTCAATGGAAGTTAGGTGGGTGTAGATTGCAACACAAAATCCCTTTAATGGTGGTTTATGTATTAATTGACAATCAAAGATGGTTTCTGTATGATGATCCTATTTTAAAGATGGTTTCCTGAAAAACACCCTTTATTAAATAGAGTTTTATCAAGAAAAACACCCTTTATTGAATAGAGTTTTATCAAGAAAACACAGACAATATGCTCTCTCCTCACAAATATAAAAATCATACAAACAGCCCCTAAAGAAATGCATAGGTGCTGAACCTGGTGCCTTTGTCGTAGATAGGTCATTACTTGCCATTCATGATCCTCTGAGCTGGATGTGCACCTGTTACTAAGTCCAGTATTTCATCTGTTAATGCTCAAGCAGTTTACTTTTCTGTGAGGAAGATTCTTGTACCAGTCCTCATATTATGCTCAAGCAATCAAGTGAAAATGTCATCCTAAAATGGGCCATTTGTTGTGATACTTTTTGCTTTTTCCTCATTGTAGTCCTCTTTTAAAGTTAAAGCTGCTGAAGAATAGTCACTGACAATTTCAGCATCTTCACTGATAAATGATAAATACTAGTTATTTAACATATCTCCGAAGTTATATGTCGTCTTGTAGATTAGGTGATTTTCCTCTACCAACGTACATTATGCTAACTTGGCAGATTTTGTGTTGGATTATAAAGCAGTGCATATGCAGCATGGGTTAGTTTGATTCCATTTCTGCACAACAATCAATATTCTATGGTTACTGAGTTTATGGTACATTTCCTCTTTCTTCACTTTCTTTTTTGGATTTTCTAGGATCAAATTCCTTTTGGTTACTTAGGATTACACTTTATTTCGGATTCATATAAAAGAATCTTTACATTTGTTACTTTGAATCCATGTTAATATGTACATAACAGTGCCCGCATGCAGCAGATTGTGAAAAATGGAGAGCATATTTTTAAAAACACATCTGAGCATGCTCCATATGGTACGGCTTCACAATAGTAGTGTATGCTACTTTGCTTTGGATTAGTTAGTCGAGTCTCTAGACTTTGACAATGTTATAAATATCGGATATCGGGGAAATATCGGGTGGCCAAAATTCATATCGGTTTGCGGATATCGGGGAAATATCGGGTGGCCAAAATTCATATCGGGGAAAATATTAGGGATATGTGGTAAATATCGGAATGCCATAATAGATGTTTGCATATATAGTACAATGCACTAAAATGTAATCTCAACATCCTTAATGAAATCTAGCATACGAAATGTAAATAATATATGCTTAGGATCACTAATCAACCTTGTAAAACAATCTTAAGTACAAATCAATGTTGTAACATTTCCTTTGATTTTTTTGGGCCAAAATGTCAGTAGATATAACTGGAAAATCATGACATCATCTTGCCCAAAAATTGCCAAATGCAATATTTTGTTTTGCGACAAGCCATATAAAATGATATATCGACAAATATATCAACTGATATATCTACCATATTGGGGATATATCACCCAAAATAGCCAAAAAACGGTAAATGATATTTAGAGACCATATCGGCTGCGGCAAGCCTGTAAAAGGATATATCGGGTGATATATCGGGCCATGTCAGGGATATTTAAAACAATCACTTTGGCATGATAACCAGGTTGAGGAATGATCGTTGAAGTGACTTTGGAGTACTACATGACCATTGAATATTCATGAAACTGGAGAAATTTTTCTAGAATGTGGTTATATGAGTAAACAAGTTTTCTTCTTTTTGGATCCAACTCTCGGGTGATTAATAAGCGAACTTTTTGAAATGAGTGTGAAAATAAGATTATAGGGATGGATGAGTGCAAACAAATAGAGATAGGATCAGGTGTTAACTTGACAAGGTAACATCAAGAGAGTCCAATATTAGGCAGAATCCTAGGTTATTTGGACATGTCCAGTGTGTGTCAGTGACTTTGCTAGGACTAGGATCATATAAGAAAGCATGGAGTGCAGCAATAATATATGGTTGTCACTGATTTAACAGAGGATATGTTTGTGTAATAAAGCTCATAGAAGGAAAAGGAGTTATGGAAAGGGATCCAAAATTTTGGATGACCTTATTTGCTGCTGCTATCATTTTCTCGTTTATTTTCATGTTTTAGCATCTTGGAGCAGAAAAGATATTTACTAAATGAATTCAGCCTCATGCCACACGAATGACTTCAAATTCAATACAATAGGAATTTGGCCTGAATTAGGGAGCTTCCTTGGTTATTAGGGCACATCTATGGAGGTTAAGTGTAGATTAACTTCATCTCCTGTTATAAAATTATCATGTTACCTGGTACTTGTCTACCTTTATTGGATATTAGTTAGTCGAAAAAGAATAGAAATTCATATTGGTTCTCATAATGTTGTGAACTTTCGTTTTCCTTATTTCATTTATTTTTTGCTTATTTTAACTCCCTATATTGGTTATATTGTTCTTATACCTCTCTTATATCTCCAATGCAACCAATTTCTCTTTGCTCCATATTTTTACCACAACTGAAACATCCTACCGATAACTGATACATGATATATGCCTTTGTGATTTTTTAGCCTTGCCTAATTTCCTTCTTCTGGTAACAGCTCCTTGGTACTTGAAAAAAGTGATTTTCTGCTTGGTTGTGTTATAAATGCTGTTGTTAGCCAAGTGATGATTCAGTTGAGAGAAAGAGGTATACAGTTGATACGGGATATTCCTGAAGAAATCAAAGTGATTTATGTATGCGGTGATCAAGCCAGAATTCAACAGGTCTTGGCTGATTTTTTGCTGAACATTGTGAGATGTGCACCATCTCCTGAAGGCTGGGTGGAGATCCAAGTTAAGCTAACTCTGAAACAGAATTCTGATGGAACAGACCTGGTGCTTCTCCAATTCAGGTAAATAAGTGCTGTTTCTCATTTTATTGATTGAAGTCTTACCTGTTGTAACTGTAGAAATTGAAATCAAATTACAGTAATTTAGACGCCGATATATGGTGTCCCAGAATTTCTCCTTCTGTTTCCTATCCCTTGTAATGTATATTTCTATATGCTCTGACCCAAGTCGTCTTATTATTATGTTTGACTTCTAATATTATTGGACTTTAGTTTAGTGCTACCTGGATAATTGAAATTAGATCTTTAACCTATCAAACACAAACTTTTTCTTAGGATGTGTAATGACATTCCATGCTTTTTTTGTTCTTATGATATGATGTCATCATAAGTCCAGGGACCAGGACAAATATTTCATTGTTGTCAAGTCAATGTCTTTAGTTATCGGCAAGTATATTTTGAAGTAAACATTTGAAATTTAAATATCAAAATCAACAAAACAATCATTTGGGTGTCCAACATACCACGTGACATACTGAAGAAAATGGAGTGTACAGAATAATACAAACCTCAATGCTTTGGAACCATGTTCCTATGGGCAAATGCCTAGCACAAATTTTAACGTTCGAAGTTACGATTAATTTCCTTACCATAAAAAATTTAAGAAGTTGTTTAGTCTACATAAACAATAAGATAAACCATGCCATATGAATGTGCTCACTTTTACCGTCAACATTAATGTTATGGATTATCGATTGAATAATCCTACGACCGATGCGGATCTACCGTCACATGCTGGTCCCAACACACAGAAGCGCATGATCTTGGAGATCGAGTCGACGAAATTATACAAAAGCACAAAGCCACAACGCAACGAGGCAAAACAAATATTTACGAGGTTCAACCCAAATCTATGACCTATGTTCTCAGGTGGTGGAGGGATGATCACTGCAAAAAATAGACAAGTACAAGACTCAAAACTCTCTAATCCTCACACACTTTTCTCTCTATTTTCCTCTCACACAAACTTTTTTTTTCATACTCATCAAAAGCAACAATTCCTTAATATAAGATTGTTCTTTGACTTGCTTAGTAAATGCGTAATTTAATGCAGCTCTTCACTGTATCTTTTAACTCTACAAGTCAAATGAATTAAGACACAGTTACACCAATAAAGTCTACGTTGGCTTAATTCTAATTCTCGCCATGAAAGTACTCTTTGGTGCTTCTCTTTGCAAGACATCCTGGATGGGATGCACCGTGCTCTCGCCTGGAACGTCCCCTCACCATCAATAGTGGATGACATTGATGGCGTTCAACCATAACTCGAACTTACCCATTGGAACAACTTTCATCATTAAGTCAGCTGGATTTCTCTTGGTATTAACCTTCTCAAGAATGAACTCCCCCTCTGCAATCCAATCTCGGATTTTATGGTACCTTATCTCTATGTGTTTTGTTCTAGAACGACCCATCTGATCTCTTGCCAAATGAATGACATTTTGGCAATCATAGTGAATAGATACATCTTACTCCTTTACAGTGATCTCGCTAAGCCCTTCAACCACAGTGCCTCCTTCCCCGCTTCAACTGCTGCTATATACTTGGCTTCTGTTGTAGAAGGTGCCACTGTGCTTTGAAGTGTAGACTTCCAACAAACCGGGCTTCCTCCTTATGTCAACACTTGTGGTAATGGACCTCCTCTCGTCCAATCATTTGCATAGTCAGAATCTACAAATCTCCCTACCTGTTTGTGTATACCATCCATAGAGAAGATATTTGTGTATACCGTCCACAGAGAACATAATTCACCTCTTGATGGTTCCTCTCATGTAACTCATTACCCATTTAACGTCTTCAAGAGCAATACCACTTTGCAACAAATCTCGCCTTACATATCATCTTCTCTTGCTGACTAGAACCTTTTTTCTTGCGGTGGACCCACTTGCACCTGATACCTTAGTTTCACTAGCTCTCATGTTTGATTTTTCCAGGGAGACTCCATCTCTTTCTTCATGGCTATAATCTAGTTGATACGAGTCGCCGTGCGAGCACCTTTGATCGTGGAATTATCAAAGGTGGGTTTGAGAAGAAAACATCACTAGTCGCACTTCTTTGCATGCTCAAGAGCTTTTTTGAAACTTGATGGATTCCTTTCGGTTACAAGAGCAAAAGAAAGCAAATTTTCTTCAAATCCATATCTCACCGGAGCTTTAATCACCCTTTGGTCTCTATCAAATACAATGCTATATAAGGACAAAGTTATAAGGCATCTCTGTTCTAGTTGCCTTGTTTCTAGCTCTTGTAGGTTTAACTCCACCCGATGGCTCTGTGCACTCCATGTCTTATTGACTTGCATTTTCCAGTTCAGTTTCTCATTACAAGTGGTCAGGTCCACCTCAACTTTAGCTTCCTCTCCATCACCTTCTTTGCTTGTAGTGTTCTCCAAGACTTTAATCATGCGATCCTCATCAAAGACCATCCTTGCTTAGAAAGACCTTTATCGGATCACACAGCTTATAGCCTTTCAGCCCATGCAGGAACCCAATAAACACACTTCTTGGATTTTCTATCAAGCTTTGATTGCTTGCTCGCGTTTACAAGTGCATATGCAAGGCAACTTATGATTCTCAGCCTTAAGTAATATACCTTCTCCCCAAGCCACACCTCCTCAGGGATCATCAAGTCTATTTTTGTAGACGGTGCTAAATTGACCACATAACATTCCATGTTCGATTGCTTCTACCCAAAACTCCTTTGGTAGCTCTGAATTCAGAATCATGCTCCTTGCTTCTCTGAATTCAGAATCATGCTCCTTGCTTTCTCACAAAGAGTTCTATTCATCCGTTCTGCAACTCTATTTTGATCAGCTCTGTCCGGTGTTGTGTAATGTCCAGTTATGCCTTCAACTTTGCAGAACTACTTGAATTCGGTAAAGGTGTATTCACCTCCATAATCACTCAACCACTTCACAAATTTATTTATTTATTTATTGTAACTGTGTTTCAGGCCAAGTTATTTTATTTATTTATTTGTTTAGTTTTTTAACGGGTTCAGGCTAAGATGTTTGGGCTTATTTCTGTACCAAACTCCATGAACATTACCTTTTAAGGCAGTTGCGCCCGTGTCTTGTGTTTTTGTAAACACTTGAGGGTATTATCTTTCCATATTTGTTCAGTTTCGAGTAATCGTTCACCAGAAAGACTGTAAATGATTCATGGCTACAACTGCTTGCTATCTTGTTAAAAAATATGTTTGTGTACTTTGTTATGCCAGGATCATGTGCCCCGGAGAGGGACTGCCGCCAGAGTTGGTCCAAGATATGTTTAACAATTCTCGATGGATAACCCAAGAAGGCCTTGGCCTGAGCATATCTAGGAAAATAGTGAAGTTGATGAATGGGGAGGTCCAATACATTAGGGAGTCTGAGAGGTCTTACTTCCTCGTCTCCTTGGAGCTCCCTTCACTTCCTCGGAGGGGTGAAAGTAGAGGAAGCTAAAGCTACTCGTCCATACTAAAATGACTTTCCATGTTTCTAGAGCCATAGCATGACCAACGGGGCGCTTTGTTGAAGCTGGAGCCTAAAGCAGCAGGTGGATGACCTACCCAACAAAAGGGGTCTCGGAAGTAAAATAGCTTGAAATTTCCCATAAATTCAACTAATTCTCTCATTTGGATTCTCAGATGGCAAGTTAGCTAGCAACTGTGCGCCTTGGAGTGTTGTATAAGTTAATTGTTGTATATTAGTGTGCATTTGATTTCTTAGAGCTTGTACATGTTATTGCGGATTGAACTACCAATAGGTTTGCTGAGATCCAACTTGGTTACTTTGGTTGTCACAAAACATGTATTTGCCTGTGTTAACATTTCCAGAACTTATGGCTGCAGGCCACAGAT